GCCGTAGGGCAGCTAAATCTGATCATACTCCATTCTGATCATACTTTTTCTATTCCAAACTGACGCATCTGATTTATTCATTTCATATGTATACTAATTTCTGTAACACCTTAATTGTCTTGTTAATACTTTTTATGTTATTTTTCGCATTATTATGTACACCATAATGTTTGTTAGTTTCATTAACTTCCAAGAGTAAATTTTTGAGTTTATACTATTAATAAAAATAGTGTAGTTTATACTATTAATGATTGAAAGAAAACCCAAAAATGACAACACATAAAAATTACTGGCTGGGAAAAAATGTGGTAACATTACCTTATTGTATGGTAATATTATTTTTGGTAAAATATACTTAATTCTGGCAGTAAAGCCAAAATATCTGGCATTTATAAGCCATTCATTTGGTAAGTTTTTCATTCATATGGTAATGGAATGACGGAAAAAAATTTTTAGTCCTTCTTAACAAACATTAAGTAAAAAAATTAAAACTGAAAAGAGGAAATATAGAGCTAAATTTAATCGAATATATGGTCTTCATGTCATGCTCTAAGAAATCATAATAAAATCATCAAATTTAGCCACATATACTAAATTTTATAACATATTTTAACGATATTTTTTGATAAATTTAATCAAAATCATTGCCCAAAGCACATAGGTAAAATTTTTCAATTTTTTTGATGCTCCCATAGACTCAGAAACAAAGTAAACTTAACCATATTCTGGTAGTTTTGCTCATGCATCTTTCTCAGTCCCCTTTTAAAATATTTTTGAAAGTCTCAAACTGTCTTTTCTGTTCTTACTGGAAGATTTATTTTAACGAAATTTCTTACCAAACATTCATTTAAACAAAAGTAATTAACGCTAAATGCAATTGATGTCGGTTATAGAGAAATAAAAATAAGTGGCCCGTTTCTGTATGACATGCAAAGTATTAAAAAGTATTAATTGAGAAATTTATTTCGGCGAAATATTATTAAATAATACCTTGTTCTAATATTCCAAAAATTCTTTTAATATAATTTAGAAGCAAAACAATTTGACAGAGAAAAATGTGTATCTAGTTCTACAGCAATTAATTAATAAAAATATCGTAGCTGACATGCCGTGAAAATAACTCTCTGAAACTCAATAAACATTTTTAAATTTATATATATTTGTTAAAACCTGATAAATCCTATTTTTAAAAGATAGCAGTAAGGGAATTAATTAGTTAATAAACTTCAATGATAAAAAATAAAGTAACCAATAAATTCAATGACAAAAAAAAATTCTGTGCAGTTATGGAAAAATTAGAGTAAAAGGTGAGAATCACCCAGTCACCAATATATTGAGTAAAAAACTTTTATTTTACATTTCGTAATATTTATTATAATTAAATTGTAAGGATTTTAAAATAACGTAAGGAACGTTAGTTTTAAATTATAAATTTGCAAAATGAAATTCATTTTCACAGTTCAAGAGTATATTTTAATTTATTTCAATGCTACTTATATTATTTAGATATAAAAATGGTTTAATGTGCTTTGCAAAAAAGTGCATTTTGAAAAATTGCATTTCAAGCATATTTAAACATAATGATAGAGTTCATTGATATAATTAGACTTATTATGCTAATTTATTTATTTATATACCAGAACAAAAAAAAATAGATAATTGAACATAAATGGACGACTTGAAATAAATTATTCCAAATTATATCCAAAACGTTTGTTCTAAAACATTATCATGTTAATAATGCATATAAATTTTTTTCATAACACCACAACTAATAGAAGAATGTACTAAGAACTGAATATACCAAATGTGAACAGAATATATTGAAAGAGAAATGCTCTCAATAGATGTAAAAACTTACCAATTCTTTACTTATTCAAAATTAATTCAATATATTTAAATGCCTATTTCAAAATTAAAATTCAGTTTCTTTCAATACAACAATAAATAATAGAATTCCTTAAATATAAAGTAGACACATTGAAGAAGAAAAAAAAAGGATTACAAGCATTATTGAAGAAAAAAACAGTTATACATTAGAACCTTGGTATGAATATTATAAGTATGATATGACTATTATTGGAAATACAATGCCAGCGCATAACCCCCCCCATCCTTTACTCCTCAAAAGGCATCAGGAATATGGTTTTGGCTGGAGTGGCAAGTTACAAACAATATTTTTTCCCACTCGACCTTAGCAAGACATCCATCCATTATCTCTAACCCTAACTAGACCCTGAACTTACCAGGTTAAAAATCAATTAACTTATTAAAATTAAACTATTACGCTAAATTTATATACTTAAAACCCTCTAAGAAAAAAAACTCAAAAAGATATACTGCTACCTTAAACCTTATAAAAATATTATTACTTCAAACCTTATAACTGCAATTAAAATAATATATATATCAGGAAATCACCTTTAAATTGGAGTTTTGAGCGGTAATGTAAATAGACACTAAGTTCTTTGCGAAAGATTGTATTTTAGCAAATTTGATTAGAAAGGTATCAAGGGGGAGAATAAAGAGTTAGGCCTTACAAGAAGAGTAACAGTCAAATTATTATTTTTTTCTGAGGTTTTAGTTTGATTTTTTTTGGTCTGAATGTGTAGCTTAATTATATTTATTGGGTTTACCCATTTATGTTTTGTTTATTATTATTATTATTATTATTATTATTATTATTAACCGTGAAAGGAGTGTTATTATTTTCGAAAAAAATACGACAATGAATCTTTTGATTCGCAGTCATATTTCATATGTGAAATTCAATTTCTTTCATTAATACACTCAATAGCAGGATCTACCAAGGATTTTGTGTATCAAATACAAACAGAGCATATTAACAGTAAGAAGACGGATAGGGCATATCAGGCCTCTTTCGTTTATTGTTGTTCTATAATTCGAGAAATAACTTACTGAAAGGGTTCAGTATTTCTGACTTTCATAATTTGATCCAATTTAAGTATTAATTTACTTACTTACGTCTTAACCTTATAGAAAAGTATGTAGAACCTTATACCTAGTATGAGGGGAGGAGCCAGTGTGGAATCTTAGTTACTTTGGTAGGTAGATAATTTTGGGTACAGGGTAACCCTTGGTATAGATAAGGTATCTCAGTTTCATTAAAAAAATAAATTTTTTTAAACATATCTATAATTATTATTTATGGAGAAAAGAAAACTCAACCTGCATAAAAAATTAATATATATGTCTAATTGAAAGCCAGTGTTTTCGTTAACTAAATCTAACAAATTACCATGAAATTTCGATGATTAAGTCTATAATATGTTTTTTATTCACCTAATTGAGATTATATTTTAAGATTTTAAATGCCTAATTGATCTAATTGATCTGTGAAAGGTAAAACTTGCCCTTTCAAGCTTTCTAGGTAGATAGCAATGTTCAGTCTTTCTAGTGCAAAAATAAACATTTCAAATAGATTCTAAATACATTATAATGTCCATTTTTGGTTAGTTCACTAGAGTAATTATATTGAGCATTGACTTTAGAATAAACTGTTACTTAATTTACTAATTTTATTGATGTGTTGATGATTTTTTAAACAAAAAGTATCACTATTTTAACTTTTAAAAAAATATTGTAATTGTGTGTGTTAAACTTAGTTTTATATTTTCATACTGGGTTAAAACAAATAAACCAGACTTTCACTATTTATATTTTTTCAAATTATTATACATATTACAATAATGGATTTAAAAATTAGAAGCAGATGTATGCGGTTTTTCTCAGTGTCAATTCCAAATATGACTCTTCTTTTATGTTAAATATCTAATTGGTAACCTAGTTTGTTCTGTGTGTTTTGTACTTTCCCACTTTCAATGATTTCTAATACTGCACAAATGCATTTCGGTTCTGTTTCTTTCATCTTCAGTAGTTCATTAACAGTGCCTGTAGTGTTTAGTGATTTACCATTAACCACTTGACTACCAAGATTCCTAGAGCTTACTGCATGTGGTTTCGATTTGAGTTAGGTGCCCAACATTTCTTCCAATGAACCATGAATATCAAAAATGTTGAACAAGAACACAATTGTTCAGCATTTGAAATTATTGATAGTGGAATACTAGAAAATGTTTGAAACTACTTTATTACATGTTTTGCTTGAAACAAAAGGGTCACACATCAGTTATTTTTGACAGACAAATACTTTAAATTTTATTTTAATTTTGTCTATCATTCATTCAGCTCATTTTTTTATTTTAATACGCACCTTTTAACAAAATTAAGCATCATTAGCATAAAAACAGAATGGTGATTTTTAACGCTTCTTTCAAATAGATTAATACCATTTCTTCAATAATCTTTTTAGTACATTTCGGCTTATTATTTTTTTCAATAGTTACCTATTACCAAAATTAATTATGCATCAGTGGCGTTTTTAATAGAAAGGCGATTTTTTTACGGGTCACCTAAATGAATAAGTACCTTTTCTCCATTAATTTTTTTATTTAGTTCATAGTTTATTTTAATATTTGAATTGTTACCTATTACCAAAATTAATTAAGCATTATTGGCGTTAATAATAGAAGGGCAATTTTTTACAGATCTCCTAAATGAAGCATTCCAGAATTTATTGAAATATTTCAAGAGAATCATTTAGTTACTTTTAAGGTCTCAACTAATAATAGATATAACAACGGTCTAATGCATGAACAGAATACCAAAGTGTATTCATAGAACTGGAAGTCTGGAGCATAAACAGCAACATTTTATCTTGCAAAAGTAAGAACATAAACAAAACACATTCAAAGGTTATAATATAATGTATTGAAGATTGCGTTTCAGATATATATAAAATAACTTTATAAGACCTTATGATTTTTCATTTGTAAACATTTATAACGGTTATAAAATTAAATATAAGTTCTACCAAATGTATAATGCACCAAGTGAAACAAAAGCAAATTCAAATGAAGTTCTAAACTAAATTATATATATTACAATAATTGTTCTTTGCAATATTCTAACAGCATATTTTAATTTATTTCAAAACCGCAGCAAATAATGGATTCTAACAATGATTTAATATGCCAAGTATAAATTGAAAATGTTGGAAAATGCATTCCCAGCCCATCCAAAGATTTTTCAGTAGTGATTTGCCACTCTGTAAGCAAGGCATCTGGAATTTTTAAGACATTTATTGAGCTATTCTGCTTTTTTAAAATACCCATTACTCCTTCTGCTGATTGCAGAACAAAATATGAATTTTCAGCGTTTAAACTTGGCAAAAAATTATCGTTTTCCTTACCTATTATGTTTTCTAAAATATCAGAATACACAGTTATTTCTCGAAGAAGCCTGCAAAGAACTGATATTGTCAAACTCCGATGTTTTGCGACAATCTGAATCAAAGTGCTTCGATGGTGCTGTTCATTTGCCTGTAAAAGGAAAACTCTTTGAATTTATGAAACTAATGGTTTGAAAAAAAGGTATAACGGTTTTGTGCATCGAAAAATAATTTTTCCTTCGTATTTCCATACATGAAGCCTTTTTAGCATCAAAATAATTTGATTTATTTTTCATACAACTGGGTTTATATTTCATACAATTTAGAGGAAAAATATTCTTAAGAATTAATAGCCTTACTTTCCAAAACAGGAGCATTAGACGCGGTAAAAGTAACAGATTGCACTTTTTCTCATAAGAAAACAACATAAATTGTAAAATATTTATTCAATGGAATTGGTTTTAATTTCAATCGATTCAGAATAAAAAATTATCCAAAAAATCATCACCTCATTGGTCTAAAAACTAATTTGTTTAGTTTTATCTCCTTTTCCCTCAATGCAAATTCACTATCACGGTGGTTAAACGACTCCTCAAGGAATTAAAAAAGAAAAAAAAACAACACTCGATATCGATATTGGGCCTAAGCTAAGTGTTAACTTTCAAAGCAATTCAGACTGCCCTGAATAATATTCGCATTCACTTAGGAATTGTGAAAATTCTTTACAAAAAAACCGAAGATAAAAACTTTAGAAAACCAAATAAATAATTTTGAAGTAAGTGTGAGATACATAAAAGTGTAAAAAGGTTATTAATACGATGATCGCTTTTTATTCCAAATTAAAGATCTTGAGAAGAAATATTTAAAAGGTAAGAAGTATTAAAATAAAAAATGAGTTCAGGAAAAGCAAAAATAATGAGTTATGTTTCCTAAATTTAAAGATATCTAAATGGCAAAGCGAAGTAGCATTTAAATATATATATATATATATATAAGTANNNTATATATATATATATGTATTATATACACTGAAGAGCCAAAAAAAAACTGGTATACCTGCCTAATATCGTGTAGGGCCCCCGCGAGTACGCAGAAGTGCCGAAACACGACGTGGCATGGATTCGATCAATGTGTGAAGTAGCGCTGGAGATAACTGACACCATGAATCCCGGGGATTTTGGTGGCCAGCGGAAGTGTCTAAATTCAGAAGAGTGCTCTTGGATCCACTCTCAGATATAAACATTATTGAACATATTTGGAATGTATTATTTTAAAATATTATTCTAAAATAAGTAATTTTTTAAGTTCGAAAGGGCAATTCTAACTTTTGTTTCATACTCATAAATGTGACTAACAGTTTAAAAACTAGCTAATGATCAACAAATTTTGAATATTCCTTAACTATATATCCGAGTACAGTGGTTAATACTTAAAACTATAGTATTAATTATTGTTCGCAGAAGTGACTGTTAACAAGTAACGCTTTTATATTTATACCCTATAAAAATAATACAAAATTATTAATTATATTAAAACAATTTAAAGCACACCTTATTGATTTCGGTGGTCTGATAAATATCAAGTAATAAATCATCAACAAAAGACAGGCACATCTTAGTAATTGCATCGCTAAATCCTTCCTGGTGAATCGTCAGAAGTCTGTGGATGTTCGTAATGGCACGCTTTGCAAAATTTCCGTCCAATTTGAAACTCTCTTCATTTTTCAGCATTTCAAGTAAATTAGTTACTGACTTCAAAATAACATCGCTTGAAACTTCGACATCTTCATTACATAAACTTTGACATGCAGCTGAAGAATTCAACATTATGAAGTTACTTACAAACTGCATGTTATTCCTTATCTTAGATTCCATGGAATATGAAACGATGTCTGGATCAGCCGTATCAGGAACATCAAAAATGTTACTACCTAAAGAAAATCACAAAATAGTTTTTTAATGGACAGCTCCCATCATGATTTGCATTTTATTGTATAAATAATAACTTTAAGTTCAAACAAGAAATTTATGAATTTAGTAGGACTTCGTGAAAACTCAGCCCTTGAAATAATGTGGAAGAAAGTTTAAAATGTATATATTTCAGAGATTAAGATTTACAAAAATATTGCAACCATTATTCAACAGCCTACCAAATTTTGAGTTTATGACTACCGATTCAAATAACTAAGTAACGTAGCCTTGTAATTTTGAACCCAATCCAGAAGATAAAGAAACTCCTGTATCAAGTATGGGGAGAAACTCCTTCGTTAAGCATTTTTTGACTGAACTAAACAGCATCTGCGTCACATGGAGAGAAAAATCAGGAAAACCACCCACGGTTATTCTGACAGCAAGGAGGCTCGACCCCATGATCCATCCAACACTGAGGATATGCTTCCTCCGTACTGTAGTCGGTGCGAGCCTGGTGTAATATTCGTATTGACCAGCCAATGCTGGGATTCGTACCAAGGTCGGTTCCTTGGGTGGAGAGCACTCTATCCCTTGATCCACGACGGCTATCTTAAAGGAATAGATGAGATTCTATATTTAAGATTTTGAAAGTATTTTATAAGTTAGAAAAGTAGCTACAGCGGTTTTTTTTTGTTTAATTTTTCACATTTATGTTCTTGAGTGAATTGTTTCCAGCTCTCGAAAGATGTCGATTTTTTTCCACCTTAAATAGTTTCGAAACAAATTAAATTTTTCCATTGACAAATTTATCTTATTACTCCAATTTCTTCGGATTTTTTTCCGAATTTGTGGCCACATTACTTTACATTATTTACTTAGTAAACTATGAAAAATTTTATAAAGTACAAAAATTAATTCGTGCGTTAGTGCATCGATTTTAGGAGAAAAGTAATATTTAACACAATAACAGAGAGAGAGAGAACCATCCCAATGTCCATCTTACTCAATGTAATGTAACTAATGTAATGTTAACGTCACTCTTCAGAAACACTAATGAAATATTTACAACTGTCTAGGATTATTCCTTCTTGATGCTCCGAATACACTCTAGGTCAGCGAGCAGATGGTGATATACAGAAAAAAGTTTTAATACAACACCAAAAGTGGTGGAAACTCCTTTACACTGAAGTGCTTAGAACCAATAATAGTTCCTGAAGTAGTGAGTTACCAAGAATGTTCTTGCACAATCCAAGAATGCACTACTTGGTTTGAAGAAATAGTTGCGTAAAAGGACGAAATAGTAGCTGCTACTATTTTTTTAATCAGTGACACAAATATTTAAAATTACAGTAACTTAAGATGCATACATGAATCAGTATATAGCTATTTCTAAAAAGTAAGAATCATTAATTTAGGATGCATACTAATTCTTGAAACAAATTTAGTTTGTAAATAAAAGAAAAGCCTAGCACAGAGGAAATATTACGATGAATTAAAACTAGGTTTAACAGAACCGTAGACGAATAGAAATTAGACATTATGAAATTTTTTATACAGTTTATAGTAACTTTAAATCTAGTTACCTTTATTACACACATATTTCAAAGGTAAACTATCTTTCTATAAAGATCAAGAACAACTCTTTACCAATAATTGAAGACAGCAATGAATTCTTGCAAACTTGAATTTTATTGTAAACCAAGCTATCTACAGGCGATATACAAAATGCGCCAGCATTTTGGAAGCGAAAAATTTTTACTTGTGCTATGAATGTGTGTGAGCTTAAAGTAAACTTTTCCCATTATTAGCGTTTTAGATTAAATCACACCCATTAAATTGTATATGAAAGCTCGATATTGTGTTAACCTTAAAAAAAAGGTGTTCTTTTACACAATTGTTGAGGTTGTTCAACATCAAATTCGAAGGGACGGTACACCACACGGCTATTGAAGTCTTTTGGCCTTTGAACCCTCAGTTTAATATTAAGAAAATAGTTAAATATTTTATCTTTACAATCCACGGAAATATTACATTCGAAATATTCTGAGCCATTTAGATGCGATCTGAGAAAGTGCATTTAATTGGGATACTGAGCCTGTCACAAAGTAAATCATAAATCTACCCAAGCTGTTGTGAGCGAAGATTAAATCCCTTACACCAAAAGGGTGAAATAATATTCTTTTTAAAACAAAAACCTTTGTTTATGCACTGGTATTCGTAGTTCATTTATTTAAACACGGTTATAAGATATTCACATTAAGGAAAATATTTCTTGCATGATTATTAGGAAACTGTATTTATATTACAGAAAATAACAATGATTTACTTCGTTAAATTCGTCATTCACTTTAAAAATACATAAAAGGGAAATAACAATAGACATATTTCAAATCCATTTTCAAGACTCTCACGCTTGAGTGTTGACAAACATTTTACTCGAAACATGTTGACTGTTATTTCCGCTTTATATATTTTTGAAGCGAATGAAGTGTTTAATCAGGCAATATATTAGCACTTCACTTTCTTAGGATTATTTAATTAGAAATGAATTGCTTATAAAAATATACCTTATAATCTCTTGGACACATGATTATAATTATAAATCTCAATTATTAATATCCCGGTAACATGACTGCTATTATAAGTCTTAGCTATGAATGTTTCATAACTAAAAATCTCTTGGCATTTAATTTAAACACTTACAATCATCAAATCCCAAACATGCTTCATTGGTCTTGAATTGCAGTTTTGCTGTTGTTAATTTCTCATTTAATTCCAGCACTTTGTCCTCTAAGAGTCGATATTTATCTTTCCATTCAGTTATATCATTGCAAAACTGCTGCTGTAAGTGTAGAGCATATTGTTGAGGATCTTTATCGCTTGGAGTTGATTGAATTATTGCAATAGCCACAGCTAATTTGATTCTTTGAACGTAATACATTAGTCCCGTCTCTACTTCATTCTTGCAATCGTCAGTTTTATTTTCAGGTTTGTGATTCATTACAGCCGTCTGAAAAATAAAATATGAGTTAAACACAGGTATGTGTGTTTAATAAAACAAATAAAAAAAGAAATTTCAATTTAAAAAAATTTCTTTTAAAAATTTCAATTTAAAATTTGAATTAAAAAAATTTCAATTAAAAAAAATTTCTTTTAGAAATTTAAATTTAGAATTTCAATTTAAAAATTTCTTCTATTTTTCATTCATAGGGCAGACATGTCAAACTCGATTCCAACGTCGACAAATTCAAAGAATTTTATAGAAATTGGTCCGAAATAGTTCAAAATTCAATTATCAATTCTTGAAACTATGTGTAATATTAATTTGTTTAAACAATTACTAACAGACTGACAGTATCAAAGAATGTTAGAATACGATTATTTTTCAAGTGTATCTTATTGAATCATTATTGTAGAAAAATTTGTGTTAAATTGGTAACATAAATATTATTTTAATTTACATTATACTGTTCGATTTCCGTATAAAACGCATGTGAACACCATGCATCATGACATACAAAACTACAACATTTATTTATTTATTAGCAAGTCGAATAAGTGATTTTTTAAGATATTTTTTGTCAATTTTTAAAGTAGAATATTTTATAATGCAATAAGAATAATAAGTGCGAATGTGTTGAACAATTTATGAAAATATGCGTTTGAGTGCTCTAAATAATAATTCAGCTATTAGTAAGATCCTTTTTAAATTGGATAACTGCAAGTGACATCATGGTAAATCGTGGCATTTGTCGATTCAAAAGCCAATCAGCCATCACACTCATACATGACGTCGCTTACACGCATCCAGTTTAATCTGTTTAAAATCAGCTGGCTTGGTATGATCACTTCAATTCTTGTTGAGTAGCAAGTACCCAACTGTAAACATACATTAAACTATCAATGTTAAACGTTGAAAATATTATTTTAAAACGGAATAAATTATTAACCTAAATAATTATTAAAATCATGTTTTGATGATGAAAGATTGTTTTTTGAGTCAATATAATCAATATATTTTATCATTTAGCTCTCGGGTAAAATAATTTTTACAAATTTTCTGAAGTGGTCAATTTACCTAAAAGTTTACTGCAAAATTTTAAAGAAAATTCTAGAAAAAAGAGTTTTTTCACTACTAAGTTTCCTGCTTTTTAGAAGAAGACAGCAAAAAATAAAACTGTTGAGTAATACAAATGTCTCTTGTCTACTTCAATAACTAATAGCTTAAAAATATCAGCGACAAAAATTATATTTACTGAAATAATTATTAAAGTGATAGTATAACCATGTTTTAATGCTAAGAGATTAATTTTCGATATAATATAATCATAATATTTTCTGATTTATTTCTCTGCTTAAATAATTTGTACTAAGAAACTGCAGAAATCATTTTAATTGGATATTTGCTAGTGATGTCATTTTAGGTAAATCGTGACATTTATCGATTCAGAAACCAATCTGGTTCAACACAAGAGTTACGTCGCTTACAGTTATCCAACCAAATTTAATTTAAATCAAATAGCTAGGTATATTCTCTTCACTTCGCCTCGATTTGCAAGAGTCAAATTAAAAAATTTTTGAAAAATTTGAAGAAAAAAAAGTTAAAAAGATTTTTAACTTTTGACATTTTTTGCAAAATTTTCTACTTTTGAGAAATAGACAACAAAAACCCTGATAATCAACGCAAAATAAATGTTTCTTATTTTCGACAGAAACTTAATACTTTATAGCAACTTTTGTAGTTGTGATATAAAAAATCCTATTGATTCTAAAAGTACAAACATAACGCCTTCAAAATCTTTTTTTCAAATTCGTCGGAAAAACCAGGAGTCAAACGCAATCGATACATCAATTATTGTAGAGAAAGTGTTCGATTTCGGACTGCGATGAGAGCTTTTCTGATGATCCCGATTCCAGGAGTAAAAGAGAAATCCCGGTAATTACCTAGGGAAAAGGATGAAGGAATCTCAATAAAAGTGGTATGCTGTGGTATCGGGGGGCGTACCCGGAGGCTGCAATTAACATTAGTGTCAGAGAAATCTCATTTGGGAGCGAAACAAAGCAGCAGCGAGTGTGGACATACCGATGAGATTAGGACAAATGCCATCCTTATTGCGGGACATGATATGGAGCAGCGATCCGGGATTGCGTCCTTGTTTTGGATCTATCTTTCGGAACACTGCCCCTGCGAGGAATTATTAAGGATATGCTTCGATAGTTGTTCGAGCGGGGATGGTATTTCTTATTTAATGAGAAACACGTGCAGGTATTATGTACTCAGATGGAATAAATATGATTCCCTTCGATTGAAAAGATAGAAATGCAGACAATACTGCTACATAATTAAAAATATTCATAAAGTATTATTGATGATGTTCTTTCGCATTTATTGTGGAGAAAATTTTCTGTTCAAATACTAGGTTTTAGGCATACATTTAAAAAAGGTATTTGCTGATGATATAGGAGTCATCTTTTATTTGTGTGATTTTTATTTTGTTTTACAGCCCGCATTGGACAGTCGGTTGAGTACACGATTATTAAGGTTTAACTCCGTAGGCTTGTACTTTTGAACCCATTTCAGAAGACAAGGGAACTCCTATATCACGAACTAGGCCTTGTGGAGGATTTTTTGATGAAATCAATTCACATTTGCGTAAAATTGGAAAGAAACCTCCTTCGGTAAGTCCGATGGTAGAGGAAGTCTAACCCATGATTCATCTACCATTGAGGATATTTTACTTCAGCACTGTCGTCGTTGTGAGCCGGAAAAAGAATGCGTATCAACCAGCCAACGCTGGGATTCGAACCTGGGTTATTCATTGGATCTCTGAGCCATCGTGGCACTATTTGCACAATTTTATTTTTCTTTATATCCGTCGTTGAACAGCCCACCCAATTTTGGGCTTACGACTACTAATGTTCAACTCCTTAGCCTTGCAATTTAGAGCCAATCCAGAAGACAAGGATACTGATGGATCAGTACCCCTAGAGGAATGATTTGTTATGGGAACATGGAGGACTTTGTGAGTCGACAGATTCAACGGGCTTCAGTCACCATTTACTACAGGGGGAGTCTTCGGCCGGCTGGGATCGAACCCACGGACTCTTGGATATGGGCTCAGCGCCCTACCAACCAGGCTATCCCGGCCTTATTTGCACCATTACTGAACATCTTATAACAGAAGATCTCTGTATACTAATGCCTCGTAGCCACTGATTCATTTTAAAAAACAGATGTACAAGCTCAGGCACTATCCACGTCGTCTGATCAAGTTCAAAATTACGTGGCATTCCTACTATGGCCATTTTAAGGTAGAGAGCTAAAAATGTGTTTGACCATGGTTAGGTGATGTTGATAATAAATAGAAAATATCAGTTTTAGAATTTTTTTTATTAATTAATTAATTTTTTTTAAAGCAAAAGAGAAATGCTTAGAAAATGGAAGGATTGATTGAGGGTTAAAAGTGAGTAAAGTGTATTCGTCATTCATTACAGAATAGAATCGATTATTTAACTATCGTAATAAAAGAGGATATTTAAATTTAAATAATTTTTGCCTATTGTGACGTTTAGCGAGTAATTTTAGTGCCCTACACAATGTGGTAAGCTTGCCTTTTTACGACGATTTAAATATTCTTTTCCGTTTAATTCTATTGTTAACTTTGTTTCTCATTAATTAATATTTATTATGTGTGCTGTGATCTATTTCAAGAACAACGATCAAGCATTTTAAGTGTTTATAAGAGAAACTTATTTAATGAATTATTGCGAAATGGGTTAGTGGAGAAAAAGCTGTATTTTCTGGAACTTAAATTATATAAAAAAATAGGAACTGTGTGATGCATATTCGTAGCATCACATTATAATTAATACTCATTGAATTATTGAATTCAAAATGTTACTCATGCTTAATTTGAGGTCATTCTGACTCCATACTGACTGAGGTCATTCTGACTGTTTAGTCGTGTAATTATCTGTGTCCAGCTCAGAAGCTTATCTTTCTGGAAACCAAGCCACATAATAACCTACCCATATTAGGTAAAAAGTACACTTCTTGCATTTGTTTTGCTCACCTGGAAATACTTGTTAGTATTTTTTGATCAAGTGTTAAGAAATTTGAATTCGCTAAAATTGCTCGAAATTTATTGTGCAAGGAAAACAATGAATAGTAGAGAACTGAAAAAAAAGTTATTAAATTAACATAATTATGAAAATGACTTTAAAAAAGAATAATCACACTTTTTATGAAAGAAAAAAAAAGAAAACTGCAAATTGATCAAGTTGAGTAAAATAAAAGTTTAGTAGAACAGCAATTACCACATGAATGCACTTCAAAGGAAATACATGTTAAATTGATAAATTTGAATCATAGATTTGGGTAGCAAATGTTATTGATAGAAAAAATGCTCATATTAATAAAAAAAAATTAACATTTTTCGGTATCTTAAAGAAAAAAAGCTGTAAAAACTGAAATTTTGCTAAAAAATTTTTTTTAATACATCATTATGAAGAACTATTGAACTTTTCTGTGTGGAAAGTCCAAAGAGGAATTTAGAACGTAATTCAGAATAAAGAAAAATTTTTAAAAAAAAATCAAGACTGTCGACTTGGAGCTCACGTTGGAGTAAAAGTAACATTTAACTCAATAATCACAGTGAAGAACAGCAAAATTCTTTGACGATCAGCCTGATCGCAATCGAGATTAAAATGGTTTTATCGAGAATATTAAAAAGATGGCGTAATTTCAATCATTTTAAATTTCCAATTCAATTCTGCTGTTTCATAATTATAAAAGAGGCACATCAAACTCTATCTTAGACAAAAAATATTTTTACAGCAATAGTTTTCAAATTCGGCAACATTTGAAAGCATGATAGAGTTTTGCATACGCTTTAAGAGTAGAAGTCAATAATGAACAACTCATTTAGTTTCTAAATATTTTTATACTAGTAAATCTAGTTAGTATACTATCAATAGTCCAGTTCTAACATTAATTTTTACACTTTTCATTCATTCATTCATATTTTTGCAAACTTTTTATTGTTTTTAGGTAGGTATATACAGAGTAACACAGGCATGTTTAAGACTAAGAAGTTAAAAATAAATTTTTCCTTAAATGTTTGCCGATGGTTGTAACAAAAGCTTGATAAAAGGAAAAAAATGGCCAAGATAGCCTGGTTAGCAGAACACTCGACTCCCGTTATTGAGAACGGGAGTTCGAATCCATCCAGCCGAAGACTTCCCGTGCAGTAAAAGGCGACTGGTGCACGTTAAATCTGTCGGCTCACAAAATCCTTAATGTTCCCATAACAAACTATACCTCCAACGGTACAGAATTAAAGATTGATCGTTCTCTGATTCAGATCAAAATTACGATCTGTGGATGAATAAATGGATATATGAACGGGTTCACCCAGGGGCGGATCTACTTAAGGGCTTTTTGGGCTGCAGCCCAGGGCCCCGTGGATACAAAGGGCCCCAGTCCCCACTGAAAACACTAGGTTATATTTTGAATTAAAAAAATATCTAATACTAAAAAAAACATTATAAGGTTGGCGACCCTGAGATCAATCAACCCATGCATGTGCGCGTCTTCGAAAGGAACGCTTGCTTTGGCTTGTTTTTGGTCAGTGTATTTTTTCGCGTCTATTACACCGCGCCGCCGCACATCTGTTCTCGCTGTCAAAGTAACAAACTTGTTTAGTTTACTAATAAACGATAACTTAAAAGTTATAAAAACCGGACCTTTCTCTTATTTTACTTATAATTGAAAATACATAATCTGTATAAGAATAGATTTCCTGCTCTTAGTTGGTAAGTAAAAAGAATTATAAATCATGTTTTTTTTTGTTTTTAATGTATTTTTTTGATACTAAATGAACTTTTTAATCTATTTTTAATGATAATTTTTGAATTACTGCACTCATTACAAAGTATTAAAATGTGATGTGAAGAACAATGTTACATCGACTGTACTGTTTTTTGTTTGACTTGCAAACTTTTTTCTAAAATCCCTTCTCAATACACAACCGGATTTTCTGATTGGAAACGCATAGGAATTTGTTTAGAAAATTCTAATGAACATAAGAAATCAGTGTTAATGTGTTTGACACGAAAGGAAAATAGATCTGTCTTAGACAAGCAGCTTCAGAAGCAATTAAGAAAAGAAACAGAATCACAATTTCCTAAAAGGGGTTATTGCAGTGGTCAATTTTTTTAGTATAAGGAGCTTAGCATTTTAGAGGTTCCGAGGAAGTATTTGGTTTTCCACATAATGGTAATTTTATGGGTGCTCTGGAGATATTGGCAGAGCTTGATCCATTCATTCGTGAACACATTGAACAACGAGAGCTGCGACCAAAACCGATAATATCATACTTATCTAAAAATGTATGTGAGGAAATAATTGAGATTATGGGACGACAGATAATTAATTAGTTCTCATACTGACTTACATTTATTTAATATTTTACAAGACTTTTTAGAAACAAATGGACTACTACTGGATAATTGTAGGGGACAATCTTATGACAACGCTGCTAATATGGTGGGTCACTACAATGGTGTACAAGCACTACTAAAACAAAAAAATAAATTCGCGGATTACGTGCCATGTGCTGCGCTTTCCCTTAACCTAATTGGTGAAGAATCTGTTAGGGTTGCAACTGAAATTGTGAACTCTTTTGGAGCAGTGCAAAAAATATACGTTTTCTTTTCTACTTCGACCCATAGGTGGGAACTGTTAAATCGAGAAACAAAACTCAAATTTACGTTAAAAAGTTTAAGCCAGACCAGATAGTCTTGTAACTATGATGCTGTCAAAGCTTTGAAAAGTAATTATGATGACATTATGAAAATTTTCGACAGTTTCAGCGAAAATTAGGATGAGAAAGATGATTTCCGGAAAGAGGCACGTAATTTATTTAATAAAATGGTGGAACTCGATACTGCAATTTTGATTATTTTATGGGGAAAATTTTTGGGGAGATTTAATTTAGTTAATAAAAAAATACAGAGCCCTGGTTTAGATATTTGTGAAGGCAACAAGTTAATTGTGTCATTAAAAGAAGCAACATAAGGCACCAATCAGATCAGAAGCTAAAGGAA